CCTAAATCTTAACCTCTAAATTCTAAACCCTAAACCCTAAATCCTAAATCTTAACCTCTAAATTCTAAACCCTAAATCCTAAACCTTGAAACAAATTTTATTTAATACTTTCTTGTAAGCTAGCCAAAAATTATGTTAGAATAAATAAAGTTACAATTTTTTCTATCTTAATAAATGAAGAAATGTGTATTTAATAACAATACAATTCTTTCATTTTCATATAATTTAAAATGTAAGATAAATTAACTATTATTTCATAAAACCTAACGTTTAAAAAATTAACATTTAATAAAAAATAAAATTTAATTTTTTTATTTAAATTAAGGATGACCCACAGAACATATAATACTTTATTTTTCATTTTTAACTATTTAATTAGGTTAATTGGTAATCCGTCACTGAATAACTGAGTTTTTAATGGATAGCTAAAATGTCGTTAAATCGTTTTTCCCCATGAAAATCACCGACAGAATATGGCCGTTGGTGATTTTCATCGTCGATCCTCAACTTTCTAGAAGTCATCATTGAGTGCTAATCGATATTGCATCATTATCTTTATCCAAAAAAAAATAAAAAATTCATCGTTTTAACTAAGGAAAATCTCAGAAAACTCAATCAACTTTTCTGAATGATTTAAACTATTTTTTTCGAATAAATATATCATTAAACTTTTCTATTTTGAATGATTGTCTAAACAATCTTTTGAATAAATAAAYCATCAAACTTCTAAAAATTTGGTTATTTACATTTTTTTAACCCAAAAATCTACCTATAACTGGCTAAGATTGCTTTAAAGTTAAAAAAAACATAAATCAATTATACCGTCTTCGACCTCTACGCCGTTCAAACCCCTCACACCCAACGTCATCGTTCCCCTCGYCGTTCGTCGTTGCCATTGGCCCTACCAAAGATCTCACGCTTAATTTTTTTTTTTTTTTTTCCCGATTATGCCTCTTTTTTAATAGTCTATGTATGCTCCTTTAATTTTTAAAAGATGGAGAATCAAAAGACAAAAAAACAAATAAAAAAAAGGAGAGCGAAAATCACCACTTTATGATGTTTAAACCTATGCCTAAATGTAACAAGAAAGAAGTTCCATATAAAACTCAATTTTCTTATTCTATATAATTTATAAAAATCAGTTTTATTTATTGAAAAAACTATATTACGGGTATAGCATATAGATTAACATACCATCGATCTCCTTTTTTTATCTGTTTTCTTTGTCTTTTGATTCTCCATCTTTCCAAAAAATTAACGGAGCATACATACACTATTAAGAAAGAAGGATAATTAGAAAGAAAAGAAAACAAATTAAGAAGCGTGAGATCGTTGGTAGGGCCAACAGCAACGACAAACAGTGAGGGGAGCGATGACATCGGGTGTGAAGAGTTTGAACGACGTATAAAAAATTGTTTTTTAAGAGTTTTTGTCAAATATTTTATAATATAGTATATATAGTATATGTTATGTGTTTTTAAAAAAAGGGTTAAATGCATGAAATAACAACCTACTTTCATAAAATTTCTTATTATAGCATTTTATTTTTGTTTTTTTTTATTAGAGCAATGTACTTTCAAATTATTTTTATTAAGGCATTGTACTTTAAAAAATCTACCCATAATAGCAATGAGTAACTTGTTACCTTTAAAACCGGTTAGCTCTTTGACTTTTTTTCTTGTGTGGCTTTAATGAGATGATGTGAATGCCACATCATTTTGATGACTTAACTAAATTTAAAATAAAAACCTATTTCAAATTATTATTAATGATTTTCATTTTTCATTGTTATGATCTAAAAAAACATTTATTTTTTTTACTTTTTCTTATTAAGTTACATTCAAATTAAATATTCTTAGAGTAAAATATTTATTAAATAAATATGAAACATTATTTTCGAGATATATTTTGTT